CTGACCTGGGCTGGGCTGAGCTGGGCTGGGCTGAGCTGAGCTTGGCTGGGCTGGGCTGGGCTGGACTGACCTGGGCTGGGCTGGGCTGGGCTGGGCTGGACTGACCTGGGCTGGGCTGAGCTGGGCTGGGCTGGGCTGGGCTGGGCTCGCCTGAGCTGGACTGACCTGGGCTGAGCCTGGTGGGCTTGCTGGGCTGGGCTGACTGAACTTCACTTTATTGAGCTGATCATGTCTTTGTTAGGCCAAGTTGAACTGGATGTGGTGAAATGTGTCCTCAGTGTGTTTGCCCTGGAGTGATTCTGGCTGTCCTGGATAAAGTCTACTGGACCATGCTCACTTGATGGGGTGGGCAGAGTGGGGCAGAGTGGAGCACGGTGGACTGAGCTGGGCTGGACACTGGGCTTTAGGAGCCTAGAGCTGGTTTTACGACCACGCCCAGCGGGCAACAAGGCAGGGACTGGTACAGAGGTGTGTTAACTGAGGTGGGACTGTGGTGGCCTGTGAGGTGGCCTCTGTTCTCTAGCCTGTGGTGTCCAGGTCAGCCTTCCCACCCTCCCCTAGGAGGTGGCAGGGAGGCAGAGCCCCAGGGAAGCCTGGACGGGCAGGCAAGGGCTGAGACACAGGGAGGGCCAGGCAGGGGCTCCCATCTGAGGAGCCGAGGCATCTTAGAGCAGACCTCAGGAGAGGGAGGGGACTCCCCATGGTAAGCCCACCATTCTGGGATGGAGGAAGGAGGAGACTAGTAGTCGGGGAAGACTCTGGGTCCCCAGCCCCCATGGGGGATACAGGTTGAGACAAAGGAACAATCTGGTAATTGCTGGGGTCTGTGGTTCCCTGGGTCCCAGGAGATCTGGGGTTGGGTCAGCCCCTGGGTCCTGGGCTTCAGCCTAGGGGAACAGCCTGGTCCTCTGCTGTTCTAAAGCCTTTGTCCCAGCCTTCAGGGCTGAGGCTGGGTCGATCCTGCAGCCCTTGAGGTAGGGTGCAGGGGTCCCAATGGCACCTGGGCCTGGGGCTTGGGAGGAAGAGGTGGAGTTAGAGAATGAGGACTGGACCTACACAAGCCTGGCCATCTGGCCCCTAGGCTGGAGCAGGGCCCCAGTCTGGGTCGAGTGGTAGTCTGAGGCCGGCCTGACCTGGACCCTGTCCTGCAGCCTCCATCCAGAAGCCGTCCGTCTTCCCCTTGCGCTCCTGCTGCAGCGAGGCCACCTCCGTGTCGCTGGGCTGCCTGGTCACAGGCTACTTCCCAGAGCCAGTGACTGTGACCTGGGACACAGGGTCCCTGAATGTGAGCACCCTGAACTTCCCCACCGCCAAACTCAGCTCCGGCCTCCTGGCCAGAACCAGCCAGGTGACCGTGTCCGGCACAGGGGAGTGGGCCAGGAAGAGTTTCACCTGCAGCGTGGGCCATGCTCCATCGTCGACATCCCAGGTCAACAAGACCTTCCAAGGTAAGCGGGGCCAGGCTTGCTGCAGCCACCACAGGAGAAAGCAGTCACAGCAGCAGGGACTTCTCGAATGTGCCCAGCTGGGATGGGGAGGACAAAGCTGGGGGCAGCACCCAGTGTGCCTGGGGACCTGGGCGGGGGCCGGGGGTGCCTGGAGGAGGAACCTGCAGCTCAGGGGTCCTCACGGCTCACACCTCTGCCCTAGGTTGCTTGCTCTCCAACTTCACCGGCCCTGATGTGATGCTCTTCCACTCATCCTGTGACCCCAGTGGGTCTCACTCCGTCATCCAGCTCTATTGCCTCATTTCTGGCTACACCCCCGGTGACCTCGATGTCACTTGGCTGAAGGACGGGAAGCCACTCTTCAAAACGGCCTCCTCCATTGCCCCACCCACGCAGGAAGGCAAGCTGGCCTCCACCCACAGCAAGATCAACGTCACCCAGGAAGACTGGATGTCAGAGAGCATCTTCACCTGCCAGGTCACCACCCACGGCTTCAGCTACCGGGCCCATGCCCATAAGTGCACAGGTGTGGCCCCCTCCTTCCCTGACACCTGGACACCCAGGAGCCAGAGGCGGCTGAGCGGGGGCCTCATGCTGCCTCTCCCCACCCCACAGATGATGAGCCACGAGGGATAAGTACCTACCTGATCCCGCCCAGCCCTCTGGACCTGTACGTCCGCACAGCGCCCAAGCTCACCTGTCTGGTGGTAGACCTGGAAAGCAAAGAGGGCGTGACAGTGGTCTGGACCCGGGACAGCCAGAAGCCAGTGACCTCAGACCCCTGGAAGGCCAACAAGCAGCTCAACGCTACATTCAGCATCGTCTCCACCCTGCCAGTGGACGCCAAGGACTGGATCGATGGCGAGACCTACCGCTGCACGGTGACACACCCTGATCTGCCCAAGCCCATCGTTCGGTCCATCACCAAGGCCCCCGGCAAGTCACAGGCCTGGGCAGGTGGGCTGGCCTCCCTAGTGGTCAGAGAGGGTGGAGGTTGGGCTGACACCTTTGTCCACAGGCAAGCGCATGCCCCCCGAGGTCTACGTGTTCCTGACACCTGAGGAGCAAGGGGGCCAGGACAAGCTCACCCTCACCTGCCTGATCCAGAACTTCTTCCCYGTGGACATCTCGGTGCAGTGGCTTCGCAACGGGCAGATCCACAATGACCAGCACAGCACCACAGCGCCCCTCAAGACCAACACCTCCCACCCCTCCTTCTTCATCTTCAGCCGCCTAGAGATAACCCTGGCAGACTGGGCSCTGAATACCAAGTTCACCTGCCGCGTGGTCCACGAGGCACTTCCTGGCCGGAGAACCCTTGAGAAAACCGTGTTCAAGAGCCCTGGTAAATGAAGCCACCCTGCCRGCCTCTCCCCGCAGGGCTCATCCAGCAGGGCAGGAAGGGCGGCCATCCAGGCCTGTCCACTAGGCCTGTCCACTGTTGTGATGCACCAGGAAGCCACCCTAATAAACTCTGCAAAGCCTGCTCACAGCCCTGGGTGCCCATTCTTGGGGAGGGCAGGGCTGCAGGGCAGAATTATCTTCCACAGAAGGGTGCCCCAAAAGAGGGGCTGAGAGGGGCTGGGGCAGCAGTGAGGCCCGGCTCAACAACCAGGGGTGTCTGTCAAATAGCACACCACATGATGGGGCTCGGCACAGAGACCCTGCCCCCAAAGAGGGTCACAGAGTCGGAGGAGATGGTCCTCGGTGGGCCAGGGTGAGCATCCCAGGAGATGTCAGCTCTGTCCCTGGAGAGACAAGACCCCACATCTCCAGATGTCCCTGCCAGAGTCAGACCCCAGACAGCCCTCTGCCTCCCTCTGTGCACAGGGCCAGGGGTCAAGCCCACTCACCCCCACGCCCTGACTGCCCTGCTGCATGGTCACACATGGGTCAGCACCCACTGTCCTCAGCCTTGCTGCTGGCCTCACTCCAGCCACAGCCACACACACGTATGTCCAGTCACATGCCCCTGTGCCACACATGCTGGCCGYAGAGGGGCACACACTGATCACGCAGCATTAGGCACCTGCAGCAGCACCCTGCWCCTGCAACAGGGCTCACAGCACCCRCCCAACAGTGTGTCACATRTGCTCAGGACGGCCTGCCCCTGGCCTCCCATGGCTGCCCATGCCCAGACCACTCCAAGTCCTTCCCTCGACACAGCCAGGCTCCCAGGTCCAAGACAAAAAGGGAGACTCACACCTCAGCTGGGATCCCAGTGGCCCCACCAGACCTCCCCCTATGGCCCCAGCCTCCCCGGCCCACCCCTCCCTGGCGGCCCGACCCCACAGACAGGGAGACGGACCCACAGCAGAAGTGTGGGCTCCACTGAGCTCTCCTGGTCCACCACAAGCCCAGAGCAGGCTGCACRCCCTTCCCAGAGCCTGGAGGAAAAGGGGTTAGAGCCGTCCATGTGCACCCAGGCCCCATCATATGCACAGCCACAGCCAGCTGGGCCTGTGCACACCCACACAGCCACAGAGGGCATCTGGAGGCGGAGGGCACACGGCCCTCTGCAAGGGAGATGCCTCCCCACCCAGGCACCTTCCCACCAGGCCCTCCTCAGAGCAGGAGCACAGGAGTGGGCCCAGCACCCAGGGCCTGCCCCAGGCCCACCCAGCCCAACCCCAGGCTGTGACAGAGGAGGGCCACTGACCTCAGGTGACCAGAGACAGGCATGAGGCCGAGCAAATTGGTGAAGGTCCCAGAGAGGCTGGGCAAGGGCCCATCTCCCAGACCAGGAGGCTGCTCTGACCCCACAGGCCTGGGCTCAGAGTCTGCTCAGCTGGGCCAGCCCTCAGAGACTCGTCACTGTCACCAAGGCTCCTGGGGTCAGAGCCCTTCATSAGGGCCCAGCATTCTCTGGGAGGGGCACATGGGGCCAAGTTTGGGGCCAGGAGAAATGGGAGAAGTAGAGGGAGAGAAACAGGCCAGGCCTCCTGGCCTGGTGGGCAGAGGACAGAGTCAAGGTCAGGCGTGGGCAGAAGACTAGGATCCCCTGAGCTGCCAGCTGACTTGGTGGGCTTTGGGCCTCCAGCGCTCCAAGGCTGACGGGGGGCTCTAAGTCCCATATGAGGCCGGGCAGGGAGCTCCTCTCCTGGGGGCCTCAGTGGGGGTTCCCTGGGCCGGGAGAACTGACTGGCCTATCCTCCCAGAGCTAGACCTGCAGGACCTGTGCACAGAAGAGCTGGAGAGTGCCGAGCTGGATGGGCTGTGGACCAGCACCTGTGTTTTCATCTCCCTGTTCCTGCTCAGCGTGAGCTACRGTGCCACCATCACCCTCTTCAAGGTGGGGCCTGGCGCCTGGGCGGGTGGGGCCCAGAAGGCCCTGGCCAGCCACGGCTGCCCTCACACACACCTTCTCCCCAGGTGAAGTGGGTCTTCTCCRCAGAGCGGCGGAGCACACCCCAGGCCCTGCACGACTACGCCAACATCCTCCATCCAGAGGCCTAGCCAGGACACCCCGCCACGCAGCCGGCTCCGCGTCTGAGCCTCCTGGGGCTGCGGCTCTSCCCAGGTGGGAGGAGGGAGCAGACCCACCCTGGCAGGGCCAGGGCTGGGGCCCAACTACCAGCACACCCGAGTCCAGAACGTTCCTCARCCCCAAGGTTCCCCAAGACAGCCCATCAACCACAGACCCCACCCACTCTGAGACCAGCCCAGAACAGCGTCTGGCCCTTTGGCAGAGGGCTCCTGGCTGCAGGATGGGCGCTGACCGCCGGGAATCACCCAGGCCCACAGTCCTCAGGATGGCCCCCAACAACCAGAAAACACCCTGAGGCCCAGAGCCATGGTCCCCACCAYGGGAGGCAGCCAGCCCAGGGCCTGGCCCATCCCTGTAGTCCCCTGGGCTGGGCAGAGGGGTCCCCTCCCGCCCACAGCCTCGTCCACCTCCACCCGGCAGTCCTGTTCCCACCCAGGCTTCTCAGTGAAGCTCCTCCCATGGCCCRGGTCTCCTGAGCATGCTTTAGGGAAGTGTCTGTGGTCACCCTGGGGTGGCCAGAGAAAGGCACTCCAGGCCGTGGACGAGGGCCAGAGGGAAAGCAGCTGTCCTCTGGGAGAGCCCTCAAYGCCAGTCCCTGAGCTGTCCACACCTCTGGCCTCCAGCCCAGATTCACRTCCCCTCCTCTGTGAGGGAAAATCCCCACCTTGGGCCAAGCGATCGCCAATGCCCTGGTCAGGGCAGGAGTCTCTGGGAGCTCGGATGCCGTCACCAAGGAGAYGAGGCTGTGGGGCCTCCCAGGACCTCAGTCCATCCACCCTGACTCTGCAGAAGGCCAATCCCCGGCCCCTGCCCCACAGCCAGCCTGGACACTCACTTAGCTGAGTGGTGACCTTCGGTGAGCAAGGGCCACCAGGGGCTGGCCACCATCATCCYTGGGAAGAATACTGGTGGGCCAAGGAGACTGAGCCGGGCACAGGGCACAGCCAGTAGGCAAGGACTGAGGTGGCAGGGGCTGTGCCCGCCTCAGCATGGCAGGCGGCTTCCCAGTTGGAAAACTGCTTGGTCTCTGTGGAGCCCAACAAAAGTGAAGGGGAACGCCYGTCCCCCCAGCTACCCAGGAGGCTGCAGAAGGACACCCGTTCAAGGCCAGCCTGGCAACATCCCAAGACCCTGTCTCAAAATAAAAAGAACTGGGCAGCCAKAGTTGGTGGGAGGGGAGGGAAGAATGAAGGAACTTTGGTTTGTGCAGAGGGGAGTGCGGGGAGGGGTGGGGCTGTGGGGATGGGGAGGAGGTAGAATGAGACGGACACTACTACCCTACAGACGTGTGTGATTACACCACTGGAGTGACCGCCCCGGTGCAGCCAGAGGAAGGAGAAGCTGTGCTCCATTTGGGAACAATGTGTCAAAACGCGTTCTACTGTCACATCTAACTAAATAGAACAAATTAAACTTTTTTAAAAAAAAAAGGGCTGGAGATATAGCTCAGAGGTACAGCGCTTGCCTAGCATGCATGAGACCAGAACCACGAAAAATGGTGGAGAGAATCCATGAGCACATCCAGCAAAGGGCAGACTTCCTTCAGAAACAAAGAGCACTCTGGAACCAATAAAAAAAAAAAACAAGAAAGATGAGCAATGGGTCCTTCACAGAAGGAAAAACCCAGCAGCCAATAACGTGAGGAAAAGTTTCAGTGGTGGAAAGCTACGGTAGGAGGACACAAGGGTGGGGCCCCAGCCCTGGTTGAGGGCTGTGAACTCTTTAGACCATTCGGAGGCCAAGTGACCAAACACCCTTGTTATCATCATGGCAGTGGCCCTACAGGGGGACCTGAACTCTGAACCAGGATGGAAATGGGCCCCTGGGAGCAGCCAAACTGGGTAGCACCAGACYCCACTCTGGGCAGAAGAGCAGCACTGGGAGGCAGGAGGCTGGGGAGGCTCGTCTGAGACAGGAGAGCTTCTCCGAACAGGAGGGCTTCCAAAGTTGCCCAGGCCACAGCCCGTGTCACACAGACACACGCTCACACGCTCCACAGACACACGCTCTCGAGAAGCCAGGCCCCGCCCCAGCCCGTGGCCTGCCAGGCTTTCCTTCCAAGCTGGGCACCTCCTCCTGTGTGCTGGACCGAGAGCATCCTGGGGGCAAAGCCAGTGTCTTCTTTCTCTGACTTGACACCCCAGAGCGTGAGACTCCCCAGGCCCCAGAGTGGGACACCGTCACACAGCAAGTCAGCTGGTCTCCTCCTTCCAGAGCACCCAGGGAGCTGGACCACCCACAGCCAGGGTCCAGAGCCCGCCTGTGGAGCCCCCGAGACCTGCTTCCCAGGACGAGAGCACACCCTGCCGGGCCCTCCTCTTCACTCTCTCCCTGGCCCACCCCAGTGGCTGAGTGGTGGCCCACAAGAGAGGCACTCATGTCCTGGACCCTGGAAATCATCCCTGTGGAAGAAGGGCCTTTGCAGATGCAGTCAGGGTCGATRGGCCCTGAATCCAGTGGCAAAGTCCTTTTAACCAGCCACAGAGAGGGCAGAGGCAGGGCCAGGGGGCTGAATGCCCATGTCCCCTGGAGATGTAGATGCTGAAACTGAAGGCTGGCACCTTGGCAGACCCTGACCACGGGTCACCTGGGAGAACACGACAGACTCGGCCAATCCCAGCGCTGCCCAGAGCTGCCACAACCCACAAAGACCCTTCTGTCCAGCCCGGGTGATGCCACTTTGTTGATCCAGCGGCCACAGGAGCTTTCAAACACCCGCACACCCTCCTGCTTGCCTCAACCCRGCCCTCCTGGCCTCTTGAACCGCCCACCATGGGCCATGGCAGCGCTCCTTCCTGGTGACCCCTGGAGGGTCCCTGTTGTGACTTAGGTTGGCAAAGCCCTCAGCTGAAAGGCTGGGATTGGGGTCCTCTGGAAGGCAACTGGGTCACAATGAGCAAC